AAAGCGGGACAAGCGTGAAAGCACGTGGGTCCCTGTCTCGCGCCAGAGCGGAGCAAACATGGAAACACATGGGTCCCTTTCGCGTCAGACCCGGACAAGCGGACAAGCGTGAAAACACGTGGGTCCTTTTCGCGCCACAGCGGAACAAACGTGAAAACAGGTGTCCCTGTCGCTCCAGAGCGGAACAAGTGTGAGAACACGTGGGTACCTGTCGCCCCAAAGTGCAGCAAGCGTGAAAACACGTGGGTCTATTTCGCTCGAGAGCGGGACAAGCGTGAAAGCACGTGGGTCCCTTTCGCCGCAGGAGGCCTCCCCAGGAAGCCGCAGCCAGAGCAGAACAAACGCGAGAAACGTGGGCCCCTTTCGCGCCAGAGCGGAACAATCTTGAAAAGACGTGGGTCCCTTTCGCCCCAGAGCGGAACAACCGTGAAAACACGTGGGCCGTTTCGCGTCAGACCGGGACAATCGTGAAAGCACTTGGGTCCATTTCGCCCTCGAGCGGAGCAAGCGTGAAAGCACGTGGGTCTATTTCCCTCCAGAGCGGAACCAGCGTGAAAACATATGGGTCCTTTTTCGCGCCCCAGAGCGGAACAAGCGTGAAAACACGTGGGCCCTTTTCGCGCCAGAGCGGAACAAGTGTGAGAACACGTGGGCCCCTTTCGCGCCAGAGCGCAGCAAAGCACGTGGGTCCTTTCCGCGCCAAAGCGGAACAATCGTGAAAACATGTGGGTCCTTTTTCGCGTCAGGCCCGGACAAACTTGAAAACACATGGGTCCGCTTTCGCCCCAGAGCGGAACAAATGTGAGAACGTGGGTACCTTTCGCCCAGGAGCGGAACAATCGTGAAAACACGTGGGTCCATTTCGCTCCAGAGCGGGACAAGCGTGGAAACACGTGGGTCCCTGTCGCGTCAGACCAGGACAAGAGTGAAAGCACGTGGGTCCCCTTTCGCCCCTGAGCGGAGCAAACGTGCAAACGCGCGGGTCCCTGTCACCCCCAGAGCGGAACAAGCGTAAAAACATGTGGGTCTTTCTCACGCCAGAGCGGAACAGACGTGAAAACACGTGGTTCCCTTCCGCCCCAGAGCGGAAGAACAAGAAAACCAGCTTTTCGCCCGAGACATTCTCAACACCCCCTGATGCTAGACATCCGCCTGGGCGACCTGGACACGTGAAAGCAAGCGTCTCGCTCGAGACATCCTCGACGCATCTTCATGTTAGACATCTGCCTGGGCGACCTGGGCAAGTGAAAATAAGCGTCTCGCTCGACTCGTTCTCAACACATCATCATGCGAGACATCTGCCTGGGCGACCTGCACGCGTGAAAACAAGCGTCTCGCTCGAGACATCGTCAACAAATCCTCATGTTAGACATCTGCCTGGGCAACCTGGACGCGTGAAACCAAACGTCTCGTTCGAAACAACCTCAAGACCTGAGCACGCGAAAACAAGCATTTCACCTGAGAGATCCTCTGAATTCTGGCCCCCAGGAGAGGAACAATCTATAACACAAAGCAAGCGTTTCGCTGGAGACAACCTCAACAATTTCTGCAAAACAAGGGTTTCGCTCCAGACATCTGCAACAAACGAAAAAATGTACTTTACCGCATGATTCTCATGTTTATCAATCGGAATTTCAAACATGCTAAACTGTGTTCTTTCCCAGCCCTTCGCGACCTGGTTATTTATGACAAAAGAAATGCGCCGGCACTACGCAAGTCGAGGACCGGCACTTGGTTTACCAACTGAAAGAGAACCCTGGGCCTATGCGCGGTCCTGGAACATGATCGACCCACGAACCCGGAAAGGAATATAGACATGTAAAGCATGGCGACGTCTCAAAAACACCCGATTGGGCGACGGGCAAATGCAATGCTGAGTGTATCGATCTTGATGTACCGTGCCGAGGGCTGTGCTGTGCTGCGCCGTGCTGAATTGCGATGTGCCATGCCGCGATTGTGCTCTATAGCGTTGTGGATTGAGTCCTCCTTTGCATCCGAGTCCTGACCGAACTGATCTGGATCTTAGACTCGAGCTGCCTCAGCACATATAGCTGCCCCCGAGCTAGTTGACAGGGGGACATGCCAGGAGGACACGCCGCGGAACGTCCAACGGGACGAGCCAGGCGACGAGCCAGGGAACGTGCCATTGGGACGCACCGCTGGACGTGCCAAGGGGACGCGCTACCGAACGTGCCAATGGACGTGCCACGGGACGTGCCAGGGGACGCGCCGCGCGACGTGCCAGGGTGACTCGCCACGGGACGCGCCACGGAACGTGCCAGGGAACGTGCCAAGTTGCAATGCTGAGTGTATCGCTCTTGATGCACCGTGCCGAGGGCTGTGCAGTGCTGCGCCGTGCTGAATTGCGATGTGCCATGCCCCCGTTTCGCTCAACACATCCTCATGCTAGACATCCGCTTGGGTGAAGTGGATACGTGAAAACAAGCGGCTGGCTCGAGACCTCCTCAACACATCTTCATCTTAGACGGCGGCCTGGGTGACCTGGGCACGTGAAAACAAGCGTTTCGCTCGAGACGGTCTCAACACCTCCTCGTGCTAGACATCCGCCTGGGCGACCTGGACACATAAAAGCAAACGTCTCGCTCGAGGCATCCTCAACACATCTTCATCTTAGACATCCGCCTGGGCGACCTGGACACGTGAAAACAAGCGTTTCGCTCAAGACATTCTCAACACATCCTCATGTTAGACATCCGCCTGGGCAACCTGGACACGTGCGAACCAGCGTCTCGATCGAGACTTCCTCAACACATCCTCATGCTAGACATCCGCTTGGGCGAAGTGGATACGTGAAAACAAGCGGCTGGCTCGAGACATCCTCAACACATCTTCATCTTAGACGGCCGCCTGGGTGACCTGGGCACGTGAAAACAAGCGTTTCGCTCGAGACGTTCTCAACACCTCCTCGTGCTAGACATCCGCCTGGGCGACCTGGACACATAAAAGCAAACGTCTCGCTCGAGGCATCCTCAACACATCTTCATCTTAGACATCCGCCTGGGCGACCTGGACACGTGAAAACAAGCGTTTCGCTCAAGACATTCTCAACACATCCTCATGCTAGACATCCGCCTGGGCAACCTGGACACGTGCGAACAAGCGTCTCGATCGAGGCTTCCTCAACACATCCTCATGCTAGACATCCGCTAGGGCGACCTGGACGCGTGAAAACAAGCGTCCCGATCGAGACTTCCTCAACACATCCTCATGCTAGACATCAGCTTGGGCGACCTGGACGCGTGAAAACAAGCGTCTCACTCGGGATATCCTCAACAAATCCTCACGCTAGACATCTGCCTTGGCAACCTGGACGCGTGAAACCAAGCGTCTCGCTCGCGACAAGTTCAAGATCTGGGCACGTGAAAACAATCATTTCACCTGAGACATCCTCTGAATTCTAGTCCCCAGGAGAGGAACACTACACAACACAAAAGAAGCGTTTCGCTCGAGACATCCTCAACCATTTCTGAAAAAACAAGCGTTCCGCTGGGGATATCATCAAAACAAATTGCGCCGGCCCTACGCGACCTCGTTATTTATCGCAAATACTTTCGCTGGCCCTACAGCCGTCAATTCGGGGGATGAACAGGTGAAAGAGAACCCTGGGCTCAGGCCGGTTCCGGGAAAAAGAGTCCCCAAGAGGGCCCCAAACTGCCCCAAGAGATCCCAAGAGGCCACGAACGCGCAGGCAAACGCCTGCGATGGTACAATACGAGCGGGCGGGATGAGCGACGCGATTACGTAAATTCTATAGACACGTACCAACCAGTCGTTGATTGAAAATGGTCGTTTTCTTGTCTGGCTTCCTTGAACTCGACGAAAGCGCCAAACGAACACCATTGCCCTGGTTGCAAGGCGCCGAATTCCACTTTGATGTAGTATGCGATGCCCCTCGGCCGCGCTCGCTGCCTCCTCAGTCCGCGGTCTCAGCAGAGCTCCAGGTCTGCATACAGCCAGAACAATACATCAACATCATCATCATCATCATCATCATCATCATCATCATCATCATCATCATCATCATCATCATCATCATCATCATCATCATAATCATCATAATCATCATCATCATAATCATCATCCTCATCCTGATCGTGTTAATCCTCATCACCAGCATCATTATCATCATAGCATCATCACCACCATCAGCATCATCATCAGCATCTTCATCAGCATCAGCATCACCATTAACACCGCCATCATCACCATTACCACTACCATCATCACCATCATCAGCATCAGCATCATTATCAACAAGGCCATCAACATCATCGCCGTCCACCATCACCATCACCATCACCATCATCATTACCTCATCATCACCATCATCACCATCACCATCACCATCACCATTATCATCACCATCACCATCACCATCACCATCACCACTGCCATCACCATCAGCATTACCATCACTACTACCGTCGCCATCATCGGTCATCATCACTGTCACCATCACCATCACCCTCATCACCAAACCAAAACTAACGCCAGCATCATCACCATCATCACCATCACACCCACAACCATCATCATCATCATTATCATCGTCATCATCGCCATCAACGTCATGAGCATCATCACCATCAGCATCATCATCAACAGCAGCAGCAGCGGCATCATCATCATCATCATCATCAGCATCATCATCATCACCATCATCATCATCATTGTCATTGTCATTGTCATCAACATCAGCATCATATTCATCATCATCGGCAGCAGCAGCAGCATCCTCATCAGCTTCATCGTCATCGTCATCATAATCATCGTCATCAGCATCAGCATCATCGTCATACTGTTCGTCATCATCATCAGCATCATGATCGTCATCATAGTTTGCATCATCATCATCATCATCATCATCATCATCATCATCATCATCATCATCATCATCATCATCAGCATCGTCGTCATGATCATACGCATCATCAGAATCTCTCCAATCCCGCCCCGCGCGCCGCCCCATGAAGTGGCGCCTTCGCCACGGCCCGGGCAGCCTCGCGCGCGATCCGCTCGTCGTCCGGGTGCGCTATGCCGAGGACCTTTAGCGCCCTCGCCTCCGGGGCGGGGGGGGGCGTCAGGGGCGAGTTCGGGGCCGGGCGGGCATCTCCATCTCTCTTGTCGTCCTCCTCGCTCCTCCTCCACGCGCTCCGTTCGCTCCTCCTCCTCCTCCTCCTCCTCCTCCTTCTCCTCCTCCTCCTCCCTCTGCTCCTCCTCGCTCCTCCTCCTCCTCCTCCTCCTCCTCCTCCACCTCCTCCTCCGCCTGCTTCCTTCACGCCTCCGCTTCTCCTCCTCCCACCGACCCACCCCTTCTCCTTCCCCACCCCCACTCCTCCCCCTCGTGTTTGTGCTGCCTTCTCCTCTCTCCCCTCCGTCCTCCCTCGCGCTTCCGCTCGCCACCCTCGCGCTCCCCCAGCCTCCTCTTCCTCCTCCTCCTCATCCTCCTCCTCCTCCTCCTCGCACTCATGCTGCCTACTCTCTCCGCTGGTCCTCCTCCCAGGCCGCCTCACTCACCTCGCTTCGCGCGACGCGTGGTCACCTTCGCGCCCCCGCGCCGCTCCTCCCCCCCGCTGGCTCCCACGCACGAGACGGGGCGGCTATCAGGCACGCGGAGCGCGGCCACGCGCTCTGGCGACGGTGTGTTCTGCTCCTGCTCTGCCGGGGCTCTGCCGTCGTGGCCGCGTCCTTGCTTGCTCGAGCTCGGCCTCGAGCAAAGCACACCACCATTGCTGCTGCTCCTGCTCCTGCTACTGCTACTCCGACTTTTCTCTAAGGCAACCGCAACATGATCGACCCACGAACCCGATCTTGACGTACCGTGCCGAGGGGGTTGTTGTGCCGTGCCGAGCGGGATTGCGATGTGCCGCGCCGCGATTGTGCTCTGTAGTGTTGTGTATCGAGTCATTATTAGCATCCGAGTCCTGACCGAACTGATCTGGATCTTAAGCTCGAGATGCCTGAGCACAGAGTAGCTGCCCCAGAGCCAGTTCCAATCGAGACTTGCGGGACGCTCCTGCAACTCAAGCTCAAACTCCGACTCAGCTCCGAAAAGGGACGACACGACACGGGAAACAGGCTCACGGACGCGCCACGGGATGTGCCAGGGGCGCAGTAGGGGATGCGCCAGGGGGCGTGCCAGGGGGCGTCTTAGGGGACGTGCCCTTGACGTGCATGGGACGTGCCAAGGCGCGTACCACTGGGCGGGCCAGAGGACGTCATGCCAGGGGACGTGGCAAAGGGCGCACCACGGAAAGGGCAGGGGAAACGCCTGAGGGAGAGCCAGGAAACGAGACAGAGGACGAGCAAGGGAATGTGCCACGCCAAGGGACGTGCTAGTGGACGTGCCAGGGCAAGTCACGCCAGAACGATGGAAGGGATTCACCAGAGGACGGGTCAGCGCGCCATGGGACGCCCCACGGACGGGCGGGGTTGGGCTGCGACAAATGTTTCGCTTGAGACATCCTCAACACATCCTCATGTTAGATATCCGCCTGGGCTACCTGGGCACGTGAACACAAGCGTGTCGCTCGAGGCATCCTCAATGAATCCTCTATGCTAGACATCGGCCTGGGCGACCTGGACACGCGAAAAAAACGTTTCGCTTGAGACATCCAGCCAAAATCCCACCAGCCCTCTGGGCGTCGGTGGTTTAGGGCGGTTCCTCTTCCACCCCTCCTTCTTCCCCTTCGGGGAGGGGTTTACCCCTCCCCCTACCCCTTCCCCATGGACCTGGACAAGGGGTTCCGCGAGTCGTCGGAGCGTCCGAAACGGCCTCGGCGAGGAAGCCAAAATCACAGATTTTACTAAAGTTTTGGCCCCATTTTGGCCTTCTGGGGGGGGGGCGACGCTGATTAATGCTCCCCTCTTGTTTGATCGATCTCCTCCGAGATGGCCCCAGAGGCGCTCCCAAGGGTGCCCCAAGAGGACCCCAAGAGGTGGCCAGGAGGCCCCAAGAGGCCCCCAGGTTGCACCCAAGAAGCTCCCAAGAGACCTCCGAGAGGCCCCCCAGAGGCACTTAAGACGCTCCAAGAGGCCTCGGCGAGAATGCTAAAACCATTGAGTTTACGTAGGTTGTGGCAACATGTTGACCTCCCGGGTGGGGGGGCACTGATTAAGATGACTCCAAGAGCGCCTGGGAGAGCCCAAGATGACCTCCAAGATGGCTCAAGATATCCCTAGATGCCTCAAGATGGCTCTCACGATGCTCCAAGAGGCCCCAAGACCGCTCCAAGGCGGCTTCAAGTGGCCAAAGAGCTCCCCCAAGAGGCGCCCAGGAGGCCCCAACTGGCGCCGAAGAGGCCTTCAAGAGGCTCCCAACAGACCCCCAAGAGGCCTCAAGAAGTAATCGAGGCACCCAAGACGCTCTAAGAGGCGTCCGGGACCGCCACGAGGACCCCAAGACGCTCCAAGAGGCCTCCACTGGGGGACGCTTCCTCTGTGTGCTGCCCACTTCCCTGATCGAGGCAATTCCTCTGGGCCTCGTTTCTGGATGGGCTGGTGGGGTTACTTTTCCGGTCGCGGCCGCGAGAGAAAGGTCAGGCGGCAAGAAGCAAAATCCGGGGCACGAACGAGGCTAATTAGCTAAACAGGCACAGGCCGGCCGGCCCGCTCACAAAGCAGCCGCGAAGCTGAAGGGGAGCTGACGGCATGGGTATCCTGAGAGCTCGAGCACGTGCACAGACAAAATGTCATGGAATTCGGAGCCTGCCAGTATGAGACGTGAACCAGGATAACCTAGCCCGTCAATCTGAGTGGGGGCACGACCCACACAGTAGGGACTTGAACCAGGATGGTCAAGTCCGTCGTGCTGAGGGGGAGCAAGTGGGAGGCCATTGGAGTGAGTCGCCAGCGGGGCTGGTGGGGTTACGCGAAGCGGCTAGAATTCTCATGCTGGACATCCGCCTAGGAGACCTGGACACGTGAAAACAAGCGTTTCGCCCGAGACATTCTCAACACATCCTCATGTTAGACATCAGCCTGAGCGACCTGGACACGTGAAAAATAATGGTTCGCTCGAGACATCCTGAATACATCCGCCTTGGCGACCTAGGCAGGTGAAAACAAGCGCTTCGCTAGAGACATCCTTTACACATTCTCATGCTAGGCATCCGCTGGGCGACCTGGACACGTGAAAACAACGTTTCGCTCGATACAATCTCACCACGTGTTCTTACTGGACATCCGCCTGGGCAACCTGGGCACGTGAAAACAAGCGTCTCGTCCGAGACATCCTCTACACATCCTCATGTTGGATATCAGCCTGGGCGACCTGGGCACGTGAAAACACGCGTGTCGCTCGAGACATCCCCAACACAGCCTCATGCTAGACATCCCCCTGGGCGACCTGGACACATGAGAACAAGCGTCTCGCTTCAGATATCCCCAACAAATCCTCATGTTAGACATCTGCCTGGGCGACCTGGACCCGAGAAAACAAGCGTTTCGCTCAAGCCTCCCCCAACTCTGCAAAACGAGCGTTTCACTCGAGACATCGTCAACAAATTATGTAAAACAAGCGCTTCGCTCGGGAAATACTCAGAAAAATATCCACGAGCCCACCAGCTCCTTATAATGCATCAAAGAAAAAATCCGCCAGCCCGCCTCAAGCCGGGGCCAGGGGGTCAACCATCTAAAACAGAACCCTGGACCCAAATCCTGTCCGGAAACATGATCGACACACGAACCCAGAAAAGGTTCAAGAAATGTAAGGTACGGCAACGGTTCAAAAACGCCTGATTGGGCGACGGGCAAATTCGATGCTGAGTGTATCAATCTTGATGTACCGTGCCGAGGGCTGTGCTGTGCTGCACCATGCTGAATTGCGATGTGCCATGCCGCGATTGTGCTCTACAGCGCTGTGGGTCGAGTCATCCTTTGAATCAGAGTCCTGACCGAACTGATCTGGATCTTAAGCTCGAGCTGCCTGAGCACATAGTAGTTGCCCCAGAGCTGATTGACAGGGGGATATGCCAGGAGGACGCGCCGCGGAACGTCCCAAGGGACGCGCCAGGCGACGTGCCAGGGGACGTGCCATGGGGACGCACCGCGGGAGGTGCCAAGGGGACGCGCTTCGGAACTTTCCAATGGACGTGCCACGGGACGTGCCAGGGCACGCGCCGCGCGACGTGCCAGGGAGACTCGCCACGGGACGCGCCACGGAATGTGCCAAGGAACGTGCCAGGTTGCAATGCTGAATGTATCGACCTTATAATGTACCGTGCCGAGGGCTGTGCTGTGCTGCGCCATGCTGAATCGCGATGTGCCATGCCGAGATTGTGATCTACAGCGTTGTGAATCGAGTCCTCCTTTTCATCCGAGTCCTGACCGAACTGATCTGGATCTTAAGCTCGAGCTGCCTGAGCACATAGTAGCTGCCCCAGAGCTGATTGACAGGGGGGCATGCCGGGAGGACGCGCCGCGGAACGTCCCAAGGGACGCGCCAGGCGACGTGCCAGGGGACGTGCCATGGGGACGCACCGCGGGAGGTGCCAAGGGGACGCGCTTCGGAACGTGCCAGTGGACGTGCCACGGGACGTGCCAGGGGACGCTCCGCGCGACGTGCCAAGGGGACTCGCCACGGGACGCGCCACGGAATGTGCCAAGGAACGTGCCAATTTGCAATGCTGAATCTATCGACCTTATAATGTACCGTGCCGAGGGCTGTGCTGTGCTGCACCGTGCTGAGTTGCGATGTGCCATGCCGAGATTGTTTTCTACAGTGTTGTGGATCGAGTCCTCCTTTGCATCCGAGTCCTGACTGAACTGATCTGGATCTTAAGCTCGAGCTGCCTGAGCACAGAGTAGCTGCCCCAGAGCTGATTGACAGGGGGGCATGCCAGGAGGACGCGCCGCGGAACGTCCCAAGGGACGCGCCAGGCGACGTGCCATGGGGACGCACCTCAACACATCCTCATGCTAGACATCCGCATGGGCGAACTGGACACGTGAAACCAAGTGGCTCGCTCGAGACATCCTAAACACATCTTCATGTTAGACGTCCGCCTGGGTGACCTGGGCACGTTAAAACAAGCGTTTCGCTCGAGACGTTCTCAACACC